TATGTGGATGAATCGAATTTTTTACGTGAACCTTCACTTGTCTATTTAAGGATTCAGTGAGATGCCGGCTCTCATAAGGATAATGGGTTTTCTCGTACCAAACCATAACTCGATTTTGCAAAATAGATCTTTTGAAAACTCCTGCTTTTTGTTCCTTGTCGCCTGTTAGAAATTTTTCATCTCTCTAATTGCGAACTAGTGTCGCTAGATTAAAGTGGATTATCAGCTATAATAGGAAGACTTCCCTCTTAAAAAACAGTGCACTACATAGTGATATGTAAGTTGTAATACCGCTGCTTGATCTTCTAAATAGCTGCTGCGCTTTATTGTGACAGTAATGCTCCTTTTCCGATAGTACTGATGTAATAAATTGTTGCCTAATTCTAAAGAACATTCAGTGATCAAAAAAGAATGTTGCAATTAGTAGTTTGTATCCATGTACACATTGGATTATGAACTCAATTGTTCTCTTTATTTGCAAATAGTTTCTTGGGAAGAAAATGTTTTTTTACTCAGAATCGCCCATATGATCTGTAGATTAGCAATCAAACTAAAAAAAATAGGCAAAAGCTCATTCTTTTGTGTCGATGTTCTGGACAAAGTGGAGATCGTGGTACATCGGTAGCGTTCATGTAGTATTCTTGGTAATCTATCCCATAACCCTTAAAATACCATTAGCATGAAGAGCAGGTTTGGAGTCAGTTTCAAAACTACATTTAAAACTGTTTTCCGTTTCGATTCTGATTATGGAACTTTTCCACAACTCTATTTAGCTACACTTCTTTTGCATAGTGCTATCGTTTTGTAATTTATGATTTTAGCAGCAGTGGCGGAAGCGGTCAGTTCTATGAGAGATACAAGTGTTCAAAGGCGGTTTGAGAAAGAAGTTGAGCTAACCTTAGCTTGGGAAGCTGAGAAAATGATTGTGGTTTGTATAAGTTGCATTGACGATGCCTACACTTGTATGTTTTTTTGTAATCAGGAACGTTTTGTTGGTGAATCTTCGCTGACGGACTTGTATGACGGAACATCGACATCAGCCTATGGGTTTAGGGGAAGCACATCGCTATATGAGGATGAAAATGAATTTACGTGGTCACCGTCAGAGGAAATTGAGCAAAATATGGGTTAGGGAAAGTGGCAAGCTTAGGTTTTGTTAAG